CCTACATGAAAACATCCCTCACATTATGCAAATAGCCCTATGCTGCTTTGCAATAATCAACTAAACTAAACCGGGATAGTTCTCGAAGGGGTGAACTGCTCTCCATGAAGCGTCCCAGACATGCTGTATAGTCAAGAGACCTGGCTGGCCAAACCAACAGCGAATATACTTTCCAGGTAATTGTCGATTTGCTGAGCCCTAAGTGGACCAACCATTATCTTCTATTAAAAGTAACGTAAGACTAACTGCGCCCGTAAAATGTCTCTATACCTCATAACATCCAAACAACCTTTGTCAAACACATGCTGGACTAACCGGCCGTCCACCATGAAATCTACACAAATCAATTCACCTTCGCCATCGTAAGAATCCTTTTTCCTGATGAGGGAGGAATGGTATCGGGTTCCAGGCTCTTTCCATATATAGGTATGTCGAGAATCAGTGTCCAGGCTGAATCGTGACTCAGCTATAATTAGCACAGTGCTCTATAGTGTTCTCGATATGGAACCAGAGTCCAAAAGTTTTTCCACAAACTGCCAGAGAACACTCGGCGTTACATAGAGCACAGCAGTCACCTCGGCGTGTGATTGGCCTACCTTCATTCTACAGAAAATTCTCCATTTCATTCCGTCAACATGGATATTCATTTTACTTGATACCTAATAATTTTTATTCATTTAACGCGAGAAACACAGTGAATGTCGTAAAAGTACAACCACGATAATCGCTGAAATTCCCTCAACAATCACATCTCCGTGTTTGCTAACGTATTCGACTCTGAATATTTGCATAATTCGTCGGCGGTATAAAATTAGTACCTTTGGTTCAATACTTTTCGTTAAAATAGACATAATTTTTAGATTCTCTTAATTTTGAATTTTGCACACGAGTTTATATTATCACATACTATACAGTGATGAAGTTATTCAGAGTAAGTTATCCCATATTACTTACAGATAAAGTTATTCTAAACTAAATGGCGAAATAGCTCCTAGTGAGCCATGGCCTGCAGTGCCCCGATATCTGCTTTCTTGCTCGTGGCCCCGGATGCATGAGCATATTCCCTGGATAAGTGGTCAGCTTCTTGCAGGACCCTCAGTGTTTAGTCCCCAAAGAACATGGTACTCATTTTATCGACCCACTCAAGGGATGAAAGGCTGAGTCAAATTTGCCGAGCCCGGGATAAAGGTATTCAAGGCCCCCCAAATCCTGATTATTGCATTTGTAGTTTCCATCGTTTAAAATTTAGGAAAGCAAGTATTCTTTACTTTTGAGAATATAAATAAACATCGGTATGAAAAATCACTTCTTCAAAGGAAACCTCTCCAAAGAATAGGCAAATTGATATATCCTTGGATTCTATCTGATTTTGTACGGAAAACTCAATGATATCTTTGGATTTCATCTAATTTTAAAAAGAGAACTTAGTGATAGCCTTCAGTTTTCTCTAATTTTCTATGAAATCTTACCATGATGCTTTAGAATTTATTTTATTTTGAATGAAAAACATGATATCTTTGTATTATATCGCAATTTTGCATGGAAAAATAATATCCTTCGATTTTATATAATTTTGTAATGAACGTTTATCACGATTTTTCTTCTTGGAGTTTATCTAATGGAAGACTTATGATTGATTCTCTTAACTGGCTGTTATCTAAATTTTACTGAGAAAGCTTATCACTCTAAAATTTTTATCTTATTTTATATGGGGAAACTAATATCTAGCAAGGCCGTGCTGCGTCTAAAACTGTAGGAGGCATGCCGCGCAGCATTCGACAAAAAGAGTGTTGTGACGTGGATAAAACAGACGGGGGGGGGAGTAGTCGTATTCGAATGACGGATCCTTCTAGACAGCGTGGTACCCGCACCTGCTAATAAAACAAGTAATTAAAAAATATCGTCGCGCGGATGAGTATTGTGAACTCTAAACGCAGCTGTTGGAGACAATTTCTTTTTACCTTTGAGACGGTACAGACAAACAGCGCCGCAGTTATTTTTATCTTTGTTGTCCCTCCCCCCTTTCAGATCTTGAAAACTCTCTCCCTCTTCCTTTTTTCCCCCCATTACTGTCGCGTAGCTCGAATTGTTTTAGAGGTTGCGAGAATTGAAGAGTGCACACTCTACACGTACATTTTCCGCTCAGAACATTCTGTAAGGTAAGTCGAATACATAAAGACAGAACTAATGCTTAAAAAAAAAAACTGCGAATTACTTGCAGGGAATAATTTGATTTTTTCCAGGAAATGTCTGTTATGAGGAAATGAAATGAAAAAAAAAGAATCAATTAATAAATGGGAAGATGAAAACATTTTCGAGTACTTCATCGTCATCGGAGCTGTAAATCAGGTGTTAAGTTTTCCATGCAAAATTAAATAGACTCAGGGGAGGAGGATCATGAATAAGTTTCTATGAAGAATAAGGAAAAATATACAGATGCCATGATAATTTTCCATTCAAAATTACATAAAATCCAAGGGTGGATCACCGTACAAAATTAGATACAATCCTTTATTATTATATAAAGTTACATAAAATCCAAAGAGGATTATTATGTAGGGTTAGATACGATCCAAAGAGGATCCCTATGTACAATTAGGAAAAATCGAATGAGAATTATTATGTAAAATTAGATAAACTCCAACGTGTATAATTATGCAAAATTAGATATAATCCAATGAGGATCATTATGAAAAATTAGATACCAGTGAGGATTATTATTCATTATGAGATATAATTCAATGAGGATTATTATGCAAAAGTAATTGCAGCCCAACGAGGAACATTACACAAAATCAGGCAAAATCCAATGCGAATCATTACAGAATATTAGATACGATCCAAAGAGGATTATTATGAAAACAAAATGCAATCCAATGAGGAAAATTACACAAAATTAGATGAGCATAATTATGTAAAATTACAAAGGATCCTCAAAATATCATTATGCATAATTAGATACCATTCAAAGAGGATCATTATGCACAGTTAGATAAAAACCAGTGAAGATCTTTATGCAAAATAAGATATAATCCAAAGAAGGTCATTATGCGAAATAAAATAAAATGGATGAAAAAATAGAAGATCATGATAGGTTTTCTATGCAAAGTTAAATAGAATTCAAGGATATCATGAAAGGTTTTCTATGCAAAATTTAATGAAATTCAAAGAAAATCATTATAAATTTTGCATTAAGAATTAAGACAAATTTCTTGAGATACGTTTTCCATGCAAGATTTGGAGACTCAAAAAACAAACATGAAAGAATGAAAATCGTGTAAACTAAATTATACTGCATTGTAAGTTAGATTGTTATTATTGTGTAAATTTAGGCAAAATTAATATTTACTGATTAGAATTAAATGAAGTTGAATATTTATTAGGAAATTACCCAAATTACTCGAACATAACGACTCCTTCCGGCATAAGATCACCTCACTTTTCGGGATAAATTTTGAGAAATAAAAACAAAGATTTTATTTTTGAGTAAATACGGTAGATAAACTATTATAAGTATTTAGCAAATTAGATACATAAAATTTAATAACGAAATTAGCCTGTTAACTGAGAATAACTAGCACATTACCTAATTAATTATATACATAACAGCTGCTTCTAGAACATGGAAAATTTAGTTTGCCCGAGGTTTCTAGAAAGTCGCCAAGCTGGCGAAAAGCGTCAAAGGCCCGTCAGGAGCGTTTTGCTTACATTTTGCGTTCTAGTAGTGCTAAAGTCTATAATTCTAACACGTGTCTATGCAAAACATGTGGCCACAAATTTAATGAGATACGAAATTAGTACCCTTAAAGTAACAAACAAATAAATAAAACAATATACAAAAACAACAGAGCAATCAAATGAATTTCCGATATTTACAGAAATTTAAAACAATGTGCTAACAGCCTCACACCTGTCTTTCTGCGGAAGATGGTAATGCCACACCTTCATTTTGGGAAGGTTGCCAACTATAAATGAGATGCATAATATGCGTCAGTCTACTATATTACTAGCAACTACGATACTTCAGGATTAAAGCGGCTGCCACGATCAATCGCCAAAATCGGAAGCTTAGTCGCCAAGCTTGGTGAATAATTCTCAGCCTTTTAACGAATTCGATTGCGATGTTCACCACCGGATCTTGATATCATGGGTTCAGTAATTCTTTTTCCCCTAAAATGTTTAACTCAAATTAGAAAAGAAGCAGTATCTTTTGGAGATATTTATAATGTGCAACATTTTTGATTTTCACGTTTACTTTTGATCTTTCTATTGTTATATATTTTCTTTTTAAGTGTTCGCAACTTTTAGCTTTTCTAACAATTGAAAATAAGAATTAGGCTCCTCCTAATATCATTCATTCATTCACAATCTTCATTATTAATCTTACCTCTAAAATATTAACCACCTATCAAATGAAAGATGAAACTCTTACAAGAGCACTGAAATTTTGTATACTGAGTAAAAGTGTAAAAATGGCCATCCTATAATGTGGACAAATGACGAAACGAAAGACAAAGAGAAACGGTTTGTCGACACTTAAATTCATATTTAGCGTAATTTATTTGGAGGCAATGCGTTAAAATCAGACAAAATATTTTTCTTTTATTGCAGAGAATTACGGCCTCTACAAAGGTAAATATGTGTAATTTCTCCTAAGATAAATAAATATTAATTTCTGATTAAATGCATATAAATGTTGCTTATTTAATTTAATTTTTTTTTTTTTTTTTTGTTTTTTTTTTTTTTTTTTTTTTTTTTTTTTTTTTTTTTTTTTTTTTTTTTTTTTTTTTTTTTTTTTTGTTTTTTTTTTTTTTTTTTCTTTTTTTTTTTTTTTTTTATTACATTTTGTGATTTTTTCATTTTGTGAAAGTTGCTATAATGTCTTTAATATTCGCAAAATTCATTTTAAATGTCGCCAAATTTGACAAAGAATACGCAGTGCAATACTGAGGTACTTTAATACTGTAACTGCACACATAAGAAAAATGTAGAGTACAGACCTGTATTAATGGAGCTGTGTTTCATAACACGTCCGCCCACAATACCGTCACTACTGTTTGCGGTTACGAGTACCAGCATCAGCCTATCCTTCTGAAGCAATCGACGATAAATTTTAGGAACTTTACGCCACACGCCACATACCTAGTAGAGGAGAGAAAAACACTAGTTAATCGTATTAAACTGACTGGTATTGTAGTTGACACAATGGAAAAACAGACAAAAATCTAAAAGATTCAGCATTTAAACAGAGGTGTACAGAGAAAGGGACAGTTTACCACACGCAGCACATTTCTTTGGGACAGCAGTTTTCGCCTGTAGCAGTATTTTATAAGAGTTAGTCATGCAGATCGACTAGGCACATAAAGGATAATTGTAAATTGCACCATGACATTGCAAGGTTTACTTTAATTTTCTAATAGTTATTTTTATTTTAGAACAAGCCTTTCCTACACATTCTCATTTCCTACCTACATTTCTTTACAAAAATGAGCTTTCAGGATTACGAATTATGCAAATGAGGTGAAAACGAGTATTTAAGCTGAAGTTTAGATCCCTTCAATAGGCATTGGTGTGGAGATTTCTCCCTGTCATCGGAAAATAATCTTAGCCTCCTAACCAAGAGGCACATCTACACCACCTGCATTCGACCAATACTATGCTACTGAAAATCAATTTCACTAACAGCAAGTCGTACAGAATAAATTTTTGCGTATTATTACTGATTCCCACTATCTTATTTGCAATGAACTTTTGCACAGAGACTTAAAACTTGAGACTATTCCAGAATATATCCAAAGATCCAATGAAAAATTCTTCACCAAAGCCGTACAATGCGATTTCGTAAATTATTCTCAAGTATTTAATTATGAAGTTCTCTTTGAAGATCGAAGCATCCGGCCACTAGCAGCTCACACTTTCATGGGTGGAGACTGCAACTTCATCACTTAGCTCCTCAACTGGTAGCTGTCTATATTTCCAATCTTGCTGATTATTACTTTGTTGTTTCTAAGCTGTTTGGAAGTAGTTGCTTGGAAGTTGTAGTAACTGAAGCTGCGTTGTATCGTACGTAGTTGTGTTGCATTAGTTGTGTTGTATATTCATAGTCCAGATTGCTGTAGTATTGTTATGTTGAAGATGTGTTGTATTTTTCCTAATATTGATTGCTGTAGAATTGTTGTATTTGAGTTTGTCATTGATGCCAATGTTGTATATTGTATTTCTCTTATTGTTATCATTGAACCTGCATTGTCTTGGATCATTTTGGAAAATTCTGCTCTCTTGTCACTTCCGAGAACTTGTTAGATACTTTGGTCTTGCTCCTTTTGGTACTTCTCTCCTCTTCCTTCACTCCGTTTTCTCTTCAGAGATTGTTTCCATGTCCAGACTTCTATATGTCATGTGCCCTAGGGTTTGAATTCACGAACCGGCAACGTTGCTCTTCGCAATAGTTCGGTATAATATCGAGTCTAAGTCTAGTTCTTCAGTAGGACAGCGTGTTCAACCCTTCGGCCAAGTTGTTGCTATTTAGTCTAAGCTTATTGTTCTTCGGCCGTACTTCTACATGTCTGCTAGTATACGCTGGTGATACTTTAAATAAGGGCCAACTCTGTTAGTTGATTCTGTGCAGCTTCGCCTAGTTAATTTTATTTAGCGTTACATTAGTTTTATATTTTCTATTTTAACGCTCAAATGGAGGCCTACTGTACGCCCGAAAAGTGACCATCTGTTTATTTATTTTGAATTGGAATAAAGGGTAATTTAACCTTTTTTTGGACTTGTTGCTTACAAGAACTCAACGAATGGTCGCTATACAGTTTTTCAGTATTCTAGTTTACAAGGAAGTCTAAATTAGCTCGGGTATTACAACATTTCAACAGCCACATTACATTGTTATAGCTGTTTTTTTCTGTTGGAAAATTTGAAAGAAAATTACAAATATCAACTAAATTACAATCATGGTGACATTAATAATGAGTATAGTGTGAATACATCTCATAGCTTCTGTTCCCTCTTGAAACCATGACACTGATTTTGAAAATACTGTCTTCCAAATACTCGCTACACACTTTTCGCTATACAAATTCTTCCACCAAAAGAACCTCTCCCAGGATATAAACTGTGATTATAATCAGCCACCTCTCTCTTAATCGAATAATTAGATTTTCTAAAATCCACTTTTTGTATTTCACTGTTTATTCAGGTTCAAACCCATTACTTTTTACTATATACTCTTTAGAAATAACACATTTTCTTACATATTTACACTTATCACTTTCCTCAAAATATTTATTTTTGACGACCACTTTTGCTATTTTTGCGTGAACCATTTTTCTTCTCGTATCACTCTGACGCAAACATTTTCGTGTTTCTCTATCAGCAATTATGGGATATAATACTCAAAATTATCTTAATTGACAAACTTTTACATAATTAATTTTGTATCTAATACAGCTTAAGAATCTTTGTATTCAAATATTTTATAAATTTAAACACTGGCTTTTATTTCTATGCCCAGGAATGCAATTTTTTTTTTTCATAGACAATCCGCCCTTTCAAAAAAAGTTTTAGATTATTTACTATTACTTATTTATTAGAAAAGAAAAATTTTTTTTCTCTTTAATTTTTTATTTGTGACTTTTCATGAGAGAATCATTGGCAGTTTAAAAATGTTTTTTTTTCGTTCTCACAGTAGTATCATTATAAGTATTGTTACGAAATGTACAGGCGCGGTGAGATAGCTTCCCTGCAAAGCAGTTTTAGGGTTGCTATAAAATGGCAAAGAAAGAGAAAAGGTTGCCACATTTGGCGAGAAATCGCCCATATGGCGACAAAATTGGCAATATGCCGTGAACGGATGGAGAACCTTCTGGAACGAATTCTTACCGGTTTAGTCCAGAATGTTTTCGAACACAAGCCGAAAACTATATAAACCCTGCTGGTCCGCAGTCAGTTAGTGTGTGTGCCTCGTCTACCGAGCTGATAGTGATAGTCAGTCATTGAGCGAGTGTCTCGAAGTCTAGCCCCGAGTTGGTCGTCGAGTGCATCGACAGAGTCTTTTAGTGCATCGCCGATACACAAGAGCTATACTCTTGTGTATCGTCGAGTGCATCGCGAGTTGTAGCGTGGATACACAAGAATCTCGAGAGTACGTGGAGTTCCGAAAACAACCAAGCAGAGTTAGGAGCTGTACTCGGGTGCTTTGCAGTGAAGCTGTTTCCACCGTTATTGCCTGACAGTGTGAAGGCTGTGTCACTGATTGTTCCAACGTGTTTATAGTAGATTTCCGACGACTGTAAAAAGTGTTATTGGAGCTGTCCTGATTAACATTGGCTAAATAAAGTGTGTTTCGATACTTCATCAAGTGTCGTCGTTATTTACTCCAAATCCACAACCCCGTACGAACGTGAACGAAGAAAATAACGCAACGACTGGTGTCAGAAAAGGAAAAACGTAATAATATATACATATATATTTTAAAATTTTCCTACTTAATTGATTTATACAATTCTGTTTTCGATTTGTGGTTGAAATTTATTCGAAATTAATAATTAATTGTAAATTTAACGCATCAATAAATATGAACTTTTTTTCAACCCCTCGTGAAATCGGCTCATTATTTAGCATCTTTTTAATCTTTCTATAGAAAGCAATCTACTTCTTGTACCTTTTGTTAGTAAGTCATAAAAATATTTTTTTAAGTTACAGAATTTTTAATTGTAAGCCTATGGCTTGTCTCATTTAATTCCCAGGTTGTTTTTAATATTAAATGATCTTTTGATCAACCCCCAAACCCTATTGTATAGTTACGAACGGACAAAGTTTGCGGATATACAGAAAAAAAATTATCAGTAGAAAAAGTATCAGTAGAAAAAAAAATCTCTTAATAGCATACAGGAATCAATTTCCATACTTGATGATGACGAAAATTTATAATTGGTGTCAAACATAAAGACATGTAGCATAATGTTAAGTCTATGGATAACTTCTTTTTCCAGTACAAGTGTCCCACTAACAGAGGTGTCTAACTTCAGTAGTTTCACTGTGTTAAGTATCCAAATACATGATGGAGGGGAAAAAATGAATATTCATACTCTGTACGATTTCATATCTATACTCTTTCAGATGCTAACAAATTGTTTGATTTTGTGTGTGATGTTATGGATAATCAAATGAGCTTAACGATAAAAAGTTTTGAAATAAAATATAATTTAACAATTTTGAAAACTCATTAGTGCTTATCAATAATTTTTTATTATTGTGTCCTCTTCATTCTTTTCTTTTCATATGCCAAGCTTGGATTAAGGTTTCCCAAAATGAGATGTTCACGCCTCTGAGTTGCATAAAAATGCGTATCTCTGTTATGTTTCATTTTGCAATGTCAAGTGACATTTCAATTTCAAGCATCGCGGATCGTAATTTAAGTTTAATTTCCACATTTCCTGTTCAAGGACGACGTAATGTTAATAAAAATATTAATTAAAGCAAAGTAATGTAATTAAAATATTTAATAAAAACCTAGTATTAGTTATTAGTTTATTATTTATATTATAACAGTGCATAGAAAAGAAAAGGAGCGCTTCAATTAAAATTTTTTGATAATAAATGTAAACTTTAATTGCGCAAATACGGGCATATTTTTCACTTTATTATTTGGCCTAAGCCGAAGCTGAATACTAAATATTCACCTCATTTTAAACTGACATGATGCTTGAAGATAATTCTCTCTTAAACTTTAACTTGCGCTATGAATGTTCAACCATTAAAAAAATAATTGTACGTATTTTTGTTCATCATTCTGATGTCTGGATTTTATGTTAATTCATTTAAAACTTATCATTTGAAAGCAGATTGGAAGAATGAAATTAATGATAAAAATTGAGGATTTCAATTTATGTGTTATTATTCACTAGCCAAATTAGAAATCAAGCTGAAATACAATACAAATGCAGGTTGCATTTCTTTCAAAGTGTATTAAGCTACACTTAATAGTAATAGGGGTTCTTTAATGCTAAAAAGAAAAAAATATGTAATGATTCTAATGAGTAATTAAGAAGAAGGGAGATTAACAACTGCATTTGTTATTGTTAAAGTGTTTAGTTTGTTCATCAATAACAGAGAGATGAAATTGGGAAGATAATATCCTACGCTTTACCCAATAGGCTAGTCCGTAGAAGATAAAAATATTTTATTTCGGGCAGTGGCAACACGTCTAATTTCAGTCGCCCAATTTGCTGCTTAAATCTGAAAGACAAATCTCTTAAATTTCACCTTAAGGCCCCATCTTGCTTTTAAATCGGTCTATTTTCTGGTTAAATTTCAAAATATAAACATTTTACGATTTGCTTTTAAATGGTTTAGTTTTCTGATTAAATTTCAAACATAAATAAATATCTTACGGTATTCGAAGTGTCAACACACTGCTTTTAAATCGCGCAGTTTGTTAATCAAATTTTCCACAATAAAAAAATTCTGTAATTCAAAACTTTGGCTTCGATTCTTTATTACATAAAGAACACAGGAAGCTATCTTAATTTGTTTTGTTTGAATATAGTTTCATAAATCTTGTGCATTAAAATGCAATCATACAGCGCGTGCCGCTTAATGTAATGACGTTTATCCACGACTACTTTGATTAAGAGATGAAAAACGATGAAAGCAACGAACGATGAGCTACTAAACGATAAGAGCAAACGAACAAAACAGAAAGGAAATTTAATGTATATGCAACAAGGAACATATAAATGAGCAAAAGTTTTATTTGGAAAATGCTATTTATGAACTGTTCGTAATATTTTCAACGAAAACTGTCATTTACGAACAGTTCATAACATCTCTGGAAATTATTGGGCCGATGCTATATCTCTAATTTTAATATACTCAGAGGTCATCTCTCATTCAATGAAAGAGAACATGCAAATATCATATTTAAAAATAGACAAAAATGCAACCTTACTTTGGCGTAGATGTTTCAGGTAAATTTTTTTAAATTTAATTTTGCAAAATTTTTTCTACTTCTGAAAAAGGGAGACCCATTGTTCATTTTCAAAATGGATAGTTATTTAAAATCTGAGCTAAACTAAGGTTGCTTTTTTGCCCGATTTTAAATGGGTGAGTAAAATCGAAAATAAATTGGTATTTAGCGACATAATTCCTTACTTGGCAATTTTTATAATTTATTTTGACCTTATTTAGCGATCCCTTAGTTCGAGACTTTAGTTAAAAAATTATTCGCTAATACTTTGATCCTATTAACCGAATTGTTATTCCCAATAAGAGATGTACTTTCTATGTTTTCGTATATAAACGGCCGGGAGTTCTGTAATTCGATATAGTATGTGAACAAAAATATTAATCGCGATCACATTAACGGTTTTATCCTAAAACTTATGACAAATTCAATAACAACAGAAAAAGGACACTGTAAATTTGACCAAAGTGTTTTTTACCTTTGAACCTTGAATATGGTGGGGTGCAAAAGGAATGTCATGTTCTTCCAAAATATTTCCTTCTTCGTTGGTAAAACGCACCGAAGTTGGCCGAGGTATTCTAAAATAAAATGCGGTTGGGTTAATATACGTCATTTAAATTTCCAAGAAGAGATATAATTAAAAATTTATACAAATTTACTCTACGGTAATACAAATACATATTAAATTATCATATGCAAAATAATTAAAATAAAAATTTTAATAGTACTGATGGAGCAAGCTGTTCGTTGATGTTTCTAAATAATCTCTCCAGGCCAGCCGAAAGAAACTGAATATTTATTATAAATAAAATACTACTAAAAGATGGTTTTTATATAATAAAACTTTAGTTAAAAAGAAATACGATAAAATAATTTACCATGCAGTTTCATGGAAGCAGGACATTAAACAATTATTTACAAAATTCGTCTGCAATCGTATAACAATAATAAAAGCAGGAGACATTCTAGATAATGATGCATAAATAACTATTCCTTCCAAATGTATTCAAGAATTTATTTATTATTCTTAAAATCTAAAGAAGAATTGCTATACATAATTTCTAGAGGTGTAGATATAGTCAATCTTCTTAAAAACTTCCTCATTAACTGCCATCTCAGAAGACAGAGCAGAAGCAATGATAGGCCGCATGTAACTCTAACATTAAACTGCTGACGAATTCCAAAGCTTTTTTTAGCTAACACTGCATATGTCACCAATAAGTGCTAGCCAGCAAACAATTTAATATAAAATACATAGTGATCAAAGCTGAAGGAATTTCCCTCAAACAACGTCTCTATAAAATGCTCTTGATGAAGGGTTATTACAAACCGAAGTAAGGTTCCACAACGGTGAAATGATAAAATTACTAAACACTGGTAGTTGATCCGACTTTAAATCCTGACAAACGAGTTGACTGAATGGGAATTTTTTTAGGTGACTAGGTTTCCTCATTCGTGTATGAGTCACTTTCCTTCAGAAAATCTTCCACGAAAGCGTCCTTCCTCTTAAGCGGAAAATCTTCCTGTGCTATGCTATAATCTAACTAGTCCAAATTATTTCTGATCAGAACTTTAGGAGAATTATAGCTGCTGATCAGCAATGATTTCGTGATTTATTACCTAAATAAAAAGTTTTCTCAGAAAGCAAGTTCAAGAATGAGCAAAATTTAAGTGATGAAACTTGGCTCAGTGGTTTAGCATTTCTTACAGATTTTGCATTGGTGATTAAAAATTTATAATTGCAAAGAAAAGGTAAGGTAATTAAAATGATGCGTAGCATTAATGCATGGAAAATAAAATTCATTATGCTAACCAAAATGTTCCACAATACAATTTGAATCACTTTCCAAATATGTCCGATCATCAAAATTGTAATTACAGCATTGAAAAATACGTTGCAGAAATTATAAATGTGACTGAAGACTTTCAGGTCATATTTCACGACTTTTTTAAAGAAATAACAATGCCGCATATTGTCGCTACTACTTCTGACGCATTTAATATTGACCCCCCCCCGCGGAAAAAAGTCAGAAAATGGATTTGTAACTCTACAGACTTATCTAACCTTATACGCCAAATAACTTGAAGGTTTTTGGAGATACTCAATCCAGTAAAGTATCCAAATGTCATAAAACGTAGCGAATATATTTACTCTTGTTTTGAATCTGCAGAGGGTGTTTTCACATTTTTAGAATAATTTCGATAAATGATTAAAAAACATATATATATATAATAGCTTTTCTTCCTTTACTCTTACTATAGATATGGATTATTTTGTTTAGATGAATGTTCATTTTATGCAAGATGGATTTAAAAATAACATTTTTACAGATAAAGGTTAGACTTAATTTACAGCATGCGCCACTTCCAGGGATCACGTTAGTAGATGTCTATTTTGATAACGTTCCAGGACGAGAAAAAATAGCAATGGAGAAAAAACACCAAGTAATTAAAACCCGTCAAAGTAAAATATAACATTAGCAAAGCAACAATCTCGTGTCAAGAACTCTACCGATTTCGAGGGCAAACAGGTACAGGTCCCTCTTCATCAAGAGCAAAGAAATCTACACATTTCTTCATCTGCTATATTGCTATCTAAAATGAGGACATTAGGAAAACAAGTCCGGCGCTGTGTTATCCGAAATGAATTCAGATGTACCGTACATATCCAAAGTAATCTATCTTTTAACGAGGGTGGGCGAAACAGGTCCTCTCCTACACGTCCATTTAGGACGCGATATAAAAAAACATTCAGCGGGTACAACTCTGTCAAGTTCATTCATAAACTGCAGCCTCATTAAACATCGGAGTTGAGATCTAAAGAGACTTCTTCCGATGCTTGGAGGGAACCTGTTTGAGACGTCAAACTCGTCACATATATTACGCGCGATGCGTTGGGCGACTTTTATTTAGGAAAAAAGAAAACTTGAATGATAAAAATGGATAAATTACTTTTCCATTTTTAAATCTTCTTAGTGGCAACTGGATATAGGCAGATCTAAACATCTGCGTTTCAAAACTGTGTTTGCGAACAACGGCGACACTATCCAGGTTCAATTGTTTCGTTGCGCGATTAAAATAGTTTCAAATTAATAGGGGATGGAAACATTTTTTCAAAAATCTGCTTTTATAGATACAGGAGGTGGATCTTAATGATCCTATTTGTCCAAGGCTATTTTGATAATATTAAACGATTAGAAGCAAATATCATTCAAATTAGCAACCCAATTTCACTCATTTAATATCAACACAAACAGAAACGTAATCCTTTTTACAGCATTTCTATATGAAAAAAGTCATTGCTAGTGAATTGTCCGTAAGCACGATAAAAAAATTCACTTGTGAACTGTCTGTAGTGCTTCTGGAAATTATTTCACCGAAATTGCATCTTCGGAGGCCATTCTTCTTATTAGCATTTATAAGAAATTCAAAGATTTCATCTTTACATTTTTCAGAAAGTTTATTACATGACGTGCCTGGATTCGTTTCAGAAAGGTCCTGGCAGATAGCTTTCGTCTGAAGAAGAGAGAGCTGCATTTGATTGTTCTAAAAATCAATAGAGTTACTCAAAATATGCGCCAAACTCAACAAAAGCTTGCTTTTTTGCCTAGTTTTGAATGACTGAATAAAATAAAAACCAAGCATCTTGTTCACCTAATCTCTTACTTCGGGATATTTTTCAATCATCTGACAATTTTTAAAATTAATTTGGACTTTTTTTGGAGAACTTAACATTTTTATAACATTAATCGAATTGTTGATCATAATAAGCGAAGTATTTCGGTAATCGATAACATTAGCCGTGAACTCGTTAAGTGTCGTCTATTGTAATATAATTGGAGCTTGAATTATAGAACTTAGAGATTAGAGATAGCAAACGTATGAATAGATACTTTCACAGCACTTCAATTAAGAAAATGTAAAAATTTCCTTACAAAGTGTTTTGCTTTTTAACTATCTTTAACGCAATAGCTTTATTTCTGGTAGTTCTCATAACATTTTTGAAAATCATTTGACGAATGCTACACCCCTAATCTCCTCATTCACTGACAAATGTAAAATTTATGAAATATAACACAAAACTTTGACGCTGATGTTTTCAGAGGACTTTCTTTAAGAAGCAGGGGTTTGCTCCTAAAGAAGAGGGATCTGTGTCTGATGATCCTTAAAATCAATAGAGGTATTGAAAATCTAAACAAGACTTAAGTTGCTTTCTCGGCTAATTTTACATAATGCATATAAATAAATATGCAAAATAATGAAATAAATAATGGAAAAGAAGCTCTTTGGCGACTTAATTCCTTACTTGGTGATATTTTGACACTTAGGAATTTACATTGGCTCCCAAAAGTGTTCGTATACTGACGAGTTTCAGTCAAATATTTCTTTATTCATTAACAAATATTAATATTTGAAAATGAGAATTTTTCGATAATATCTGTAAATTTCTCTCGGGAAAAACATTAGTTATTTTACGAACACAGAATTTTTTTTTTGGGAACATAAATAATAAAAAAACTAACAGAAAAGTTACCTCACAAAAGTCTTCGCACGCTTTGAAGAAATCTGCACATATTAGTAATCAATTTTTTTAAATTTAAAATGCCAAAACATGGAAAACATTTTTGAAACTGAAAGTATATATCTACGCTCAACGTTTTCGATGATAAAACAAATTTTTCGGACACACTACTTTGTAAGACATGCATAAATAACGGATCACTTTTGGTTAAAAAAATTTTAAAAATTCCGTTTTATGTGAGGTGATAGTGCCCGCGTTGCTGCCGATAAATACGGTAACCCTAAGGAATTCTTCAATCGCAGAGACAGAATAGAGACGGGCTATCGAGGAGTACGCATATTTGAAGCCTTGAAATAAAGATAAATTGGCACTTTTCCGTTTTGCCGGCGCAGGCGATAAAGTCGCCAATAATGGTACAACCGATGCCAAACGAATATCCTCGATGGTAACCTTTTACTCCTCATTTTCAAAACAAGTCGCAGCCATTTCTTATCAGATTGTTTCTTTCAATACTGGCATACAATTACACTGAATTTTTACCAGATAGTTCAATTTTATGCACTAAGACCATTCGCGGGCGGTAATTAAGTCAATTAGGATGCAATCACACCGCTCACCCGATGGCGAAAATATAGAAAAGGAAAAGTCAAGGGTTAAGTTCATCAATTCTAATGAGAATGCACTAGCGAAGTAAAGCACTGCGGTTTTACATAACTTCTGAGTAAGCTATTTATGCGAATTGAAATAATTCTTGCATTTAAACTTGTACTCCAAATTAAGATTTAACTTGAAATTAATGTAGATAATTACTGAGAGAATTAGATTTTTGTAGCGTAGTTTACGTGATATGAGATCACTTGGGCTCACGTGATATTAACCGTCGGAATCAGGATGTTGTATCATGAAAGCATAGTAAATTCTTAAATTAATTCTTTTTACAAATTTGCTGTCTTTATTTATTGGCTTTTTTACAAAATTTAACGACATTAAAATGTTTATACCTTCAAAATAAAAATTCTTAGAACTAACATTTGTCAACATTTTGTATGTGTATACTGTATGTTGTCGACAATAAAGTCCGCTTGGCGAGATTTGCGCCGGCGAAACGGAAAAGTACCGATAAATTTTTATTGTGTATTATGTCAAAATAAAGTTTTTCATAAACGTATTTAATGTGACATGGACAATGTGATATTGGCACCATTCCATTATGTCTCAACTTACGAACATTCAAGGTGATTTTCAAAAGTGCTCAAACTCAAATTGCATGGGGCCGAAATGACCGATCTGTATTTTTTAATGAAATTTTAAAACAATTTTTAACATAAAAAATAATTTCATTTCATTTAACTGAATATCTATCAAAACATATGTAAAAATACTGATAACACAAAAGGGAGAAATTCAAATTTATGTTATTTTCTATCTAAAGTCTACAAGTTAGTACATGCCAGAAATTTCTATTGGTTCTAATTAATAATTCAAACGCGCTGACAGCAAATATTAAATATTAAACTTTAAATAACTTTTAACCATAACAGGACAATTGGAAATTTCAGAATACTGAAAAGCCACCAGCTGTCGGCTAGCAAGCTAAATTACTAACTCTGCCAACGCGGGAAGTTCTCTCACATTACACCAGTCCATGTAGCATGACGTACAAGCATACAACAGCAGAAACAAAGTCCCAACCTATTCATTCTATCTTTTCTCCTTCAATAAGTTACGCACGTAAGCTCATTTCATATATCTACAACTACGAGTATTTATAACTAATACATAATTAAAATGCCGCGAGTATGAAACCATTGGCACAGGTTTTCTAAAACAACTCCTCCACTAAAAATCACTTCGCTCTCATTAAATTCACTTGTGCCGATTTGAGAGTTCAAAACACCGTTCGTTACCTGAGACTTTTATGTTCAAATGGTTTTTTTGTGATCCGAGATTCCATTCTATTTTAAAACCCGACAATAATTCGTAATGACCGTGCACATTTCTGAAGCACAAGAAGGGATGCTAAGATCCTTGCAACACTTACCCTCTGTAGTGAATTGTGTAGTGCAAATCTCGTTTAGTGTAGACCAGGTAACCACGCGCTGCACCTGAAGTCAGAACCGGAGGTACCAATATTCTGCCCGTCAGCAAAACAGTGAACTCTGTAATAGAAAATCATCATTTAAATGAATGATCATTTAATAATTTAACTAAAATTTAACATTGTTTATTAAAAGAGGTTGTGCGTTACATTCCTCAAGAGCATTAATTATACATGAAAGTCATTTTGAAATACTTTTTTTAAGAATGTTATTATTCTTAGGACTAACCACCTCAAAAAACTAAAAGGAAAAATATATAATGATTTCAGCGATGTCCTTTCACAATCCCAAATGGTGATCACAATAATCTAAATACAGAACTGCGTTGATTGCTTTAAAATTGCTTAGTTTGTTAATTGATAAAAGATTCAATTTGGGAGAAAAAAATTTTACGCTTTGCCGAATGGCAACACTCTGGAGCTTAGACATTTAGACAGAAGATTCGGACTGTTCCCATTTAATAGAATTTAATAAAAATAATAAAATACAATTAAAAATGTTTCCTTACAATAAAAATAATAATAAGCTTTACAATAAACTTTTATTTTTATAAAATGCATTTGATAATGAATGTTCTAAAAGAAGATAGTTTAATGGCAATAATAGACAGAATACTTTTACCGACAAAATTCCTCTATAGTTTTACATCGCGAATAATAAGATCGTAGGGCGCTCAGGATACATTTAAAAAGATAATATAATGGCTTATACATTTGTCAAAGCAATTAAATGAATAGATCTCGTGATTTAGACCAGTGGTAGTGAACCCTTATAACTTCACGAACCGCTACATATATAATTTTAATACTTGGCAGACCATTAATATGAGTTAAAAAACCTTAAATCAGACCTTAAAAACAACATATTAATACGAAAAAAAAATCAGCTTTTCAATATATGAAATTTTAATTTTCGTTTGTTAATATAATTTCGAAATATTTGATGTTCAGCAGCATGCCTTTATGGAAATTCAGGCTACGCCCCTGATTATGAGTAGCAATTAAAACACTAATAACATCTCACTGATACACATATTTCGTTCACATTGAAAAATTATATGAAAAGTACAAAAATCTTGCCGTCCTGTATAAAAAGCTTCACATTTCCATATCACTGAAAAGGAACTTCACGAAAAGCAAGAACAAACCGGCAAACGCAAAGCAATGTCAATAAACTGACAGTGTTATGCCACCAATTTTTAATTTTGTAAACATAATAATCATCGCTTACTCAGCAATAACACCATCGATCAAATGTTAGCAACAACAAAAACGGAAACTTCCAGTGATGCAATTGTAAACAAGAATGCAGATGGGTCTCATAAAAATCCACCAGGTTGCCTATTGACACGAAGAAAAACTGCATTAATAACGACTATAATAGCATATGTTTGTAATTCAAAAGGTAAGAGAATTCCAGTTCGCGCTATTATTGATAACAGCAGCATACCCATGGATGCCGACTCTCACTTTCAAATGTCACTAGATACACCTGCAAAAGTAACTAAAAAGTCGCTAAATTCAGAAGGAATTTCGCTAAAAGTAGTAGCTAAAATTAAAAAAAAAAGTATAATACACATTCCATAATAGGTTTTGTTACTCGTCATTTTTTTAAACTGAATCTTCATAAAAATATAAATAATGACCCATTTTTTCTGCGGACCATCAAAAAGTTTTCACAGACCACCGGTTGGCGACCGCTGGTCTAAGAAATAGCGCAATTTCCAAATGGCCCAAAATTCAGAAATTAAATTACAAATTTTATACAAGTTTTATTGAAAAATAATTTTCTGCTGTATTCGATGGTGAAAAGAGTAAAATTCTGTTACGCTTACTTCGTTCGTTTATTGTTATAGTCAAATCTTCAAACCTCGGGTACCGGAAAAGAAAAAGAGAAATTCGACATATAACGAGATGATTATGTCAAAGATAATGACTTTGCCAAACTAAAGAGTATACACGATATTATTAAAAACACATACACGATATTATTAAAAATTAAATAATTGAACACCCACCTTCAGTTGAAGAAAACTATAAAGAGAGTCTTTTCAGAATAGAAAATGAATAATTAATATAAAAAATCCGTTCGAGTGCTACGATAGAGCAGTAGGCTTGAAAATGAAGGAAAGGGAACAAACTATCGACATAGCAATCGATTCGTTGATAAAAACTTAAATTTAAGAAATGACAGGTCCGAAATCTTTAGTTGCAAATTCATGCAGAATACCTAGAAGTTTCTCAAACGCCTATAAACATATTAGTGCCTTTCTAAACTGTTGTATTTAAGTTACATACCTTTCTCAACGTACGTGGCAACAAAAACAAAATATGGAAAAAAATTAAGGCAGAATATGAAATGCGACTGCAGGAACATTAAGACTTGGACACTTTGGGCAAGGGAAAAAAAATGCAAGCACATCCCAATCACTAAATATAACGTAAGGGTGCGTGACATCTGGAGCAAGGGTTAACGTTATTAATGAATAAATTACATTAATTTTATGTTAAAATATTTTAATATAAAATACTTTTCTCTAATTGCCTTTACATACAGTACCTAACCTATAGCATACTGATATACTTTAAATACTATTTTGAGATACCTTTTTCTAAGGGTAAGGATGGCGTCCCCCCCCTAAATATTTGTAGTTAAGGGTTCCGCGAATGCACTGATTTAGACTTTCGGAAGCGCCGTTATTTTGATACTGCCGGTTTCCAGGGGTTTTATTGTATGTATAAAAATTTATTAAATGAATAATAAGGCAATATATATACTACGGTTAAATCCACCCTTCTCTTTTTGTGATTTTCAACACTAAAAGATGTTCCATGAAGTTTAAGGAGAGGTGAGTAGCGGCAAATAGGAGTCTGCAGTGGAACTCGTTTTTCCGCTAATATGTATCTCATTCATCGATATGGCAGGCAGCACCCATGCGCCTTCGAAAAAGACAGCGGGAGGAAAAATAGAAAGGTAAAAAAAGAAAACTTCAACAAGTCGCGCCACCTTGGCCAAACCAAGAGCTTCCATTGATTTCAGGTCAGCCCGTCGTCTCCCCAATTGGCGATGCCCAGTAAAAAGAAAAAAAAAAATAGTGGAAGGAAAAAAGAACAAAAAAACTGAAGTCTAAAATGTAAATATTCCGGGTATGGCGCGCGTGCCTCGCATGTCCATCGAGTAGCTAAGAATAAAAAAAGAACTGATCGAATTCTGACCTGAAGTTCGGCGAAGAGATTTGTCCGAGTTGCCGCTGGTCCGCCATTTTTGGTCAGTTCTAGCTGACAGTGATTTTGATTTCAATCCAATTGATCGACCAAAACTTTTCCTCGGAATTTTAAATGCGCATAAAACTGAGACTTAGTCATTTTATGGCAACATTCATTCTTTTGGGAAGACTAGCGCTGGTTGAAACTGATTTTTACAACGAAACAAATTCAAAACGAAAAATAAAACTTATAATTTTAAGAGCGAATAAAATTGACACATTAGAATTTTATGGCAACATTAATTCTTTTGGCAACACAAGTGCTTGTTCAAACTGATTTTAGAAACGAAAGTTCAGATGTAGGCAACTAAGAATTAAATGTAAGGTAAAAATTTTGATACAATGAAATAAATATAAGGTTTTGTTTTTAAATTCCTCCTCAATAAAAATCTAATTTCCCCAATGATACATACACACACAAATAAATAAAAATTACAGATTACTAGTTATTTGAAAAAAAAAAAAAAAAGAGAGAGAGAATTTGATTTTTACAAGGAAACAAATATAAAAAAAAAAGAGGGAATAAAATTATAATACAGAAAATTTAACCAACAACCGACAAAACATTTTGATGCAATGAAGTAAAGAATCTTGCTATTAAATTCTTTGCTTCTAGTGTTCTTAATTAAAAAATTGTGTATCACAGTTATAAAGAATTTGAATGGTTTTTATAACGGAACAAAATTAAAATAAAGGAATTAAGTTATACGCGTAAATAGAAATTCTTATATTTGTACATAAATAATTATAAACATAGCTATTTTTTATTCAACGCATAAACAAAAATGCATTGCTTGCAGATGTAAATAATTATAAACGTCTTTCTTACAAAGTTACCGAGTTTGAACATTTTCTTACAAAGTTACCGAGTTTTACTACCGAGTTTGACAATCGGTAGCGTTTAGATTTCGGCGCAGTTTATAGCCTTGAAGAGAAATTAGTAGAAACTATCTTAATCATCATCTTCTGCAGGTGGTAATTGGTAAGCTGCTCATACATAAATGAGTAACCGAACGTATTTATTTTTTGACACGCATTAATAACAGTTAATAAAATCTGTACCTGCAAATTTTGACTAAGAATTACGTCACACTGTAATTTAGCTCCATTTATAAATTTTTTGGCGCGTTAGACCTGTTCGTTTCTATGCTAGTGAAAATAATGATTTCAAAATCTTTGCAGCATCGTATTTTCAACAGATATAACTGAAATATATTCGCTAGGCCCATAAAATTCCTTCAAGTCTGCTGTATAGAATTCATAACATTCGAGTTATAAGAAAAAAAAAAACTTATTAGTATCACTAACACCCGAAAGATTCAATTGATGATGATGATGTGGCCACAAATGGCGACAATACACGGGTTTACCTTTTCAAAATTCGCATACATTTTTACGACCTTGCCTAACCGTCGTTGCGCGTAGGCTTTGAAGCGAAAGGATTATTTAATTCCCCCCTTCCATATTAACGCCATTTTATATAAAGATATATTATTATTTTATATCCCATTCTTTTTTATAATTCCCTCTGCAACATTTATTATTATTCTTTTTATTAATCTTTGCTTTTTAATTCCACTCTGCCTGTAAAGACTGCAGAGAACTGTCTACCTAGGCGTGGTTCGAGCATTGTGGCGCCAGCCGCAACGTTCTTTACGATCTACCAAAACAGGCTTAGGAAAACTCGAGTCGATAAGAGAGGGAGGGGAATACGGTATTTTTTCTTTGATAATGTATAAGGAAAAGTATGGCGCAGCTCCTCTATGGGAAGGACGAGAGATTATTTTATTTTCGA